AGTTCCAGTCCCCCCCCCGCCCCCCTTTTCTTTCCATTTAGGTTGCTCGCAGTGTAAATATTTAGAGGATGCATTTAAAATAAACATACATGGCTGCTTCCAGGATTTTTCCTGTTTTTCTTTTTTTGAAAGAACTACATCAAATGAGTGTTTACTTACTGGGATTGACAGGCGGTGACCCTCCCCCTGTTTTCTTTTTAACAGCTCCATCTCTTTCACTCAGCTATTGCTGTGGAAATGCCAATCCTATCATAATAATTTGTCTTCAGCACCTTGACATGTGCCTTTTATTTTCCACAGCAGCTTTCATCCAACGATCTCTCAAAGGGAGAGGAAATAACTATATACCCATTCTACCGATGGGGAAACTGAGAGATGGACAGGCTATGTAATAGCAAAGGGAGGGGGGAAAAAAATCCACATGCTAATAAGCATATACCCATTCTGCCAATGGGGAAACTGAGAGATGGACAGGATAAGTAATAGCAAAGGGAGGGGGAAAAAATCCACATGCTAATAAGCATATACCCATTCTGCTGATGGGGAAACTGAGAGATGGGCAGGCTAGGTGACAGCAAAGGAAGAAAAAAAAATCCACATGCTAGGGCCCCGGTCCTGTACTCCATGTGGGTCTGTTGGCTCAGAGCTCATGGCAAAGCCTAGGACTGGACTTTCCAAAGAGCTTAGTACCTGACAGCTCCTATTTAGACAGCCAGCATTAAAGGCTGGGCAACTGTATTTACATGCCTACATGAAAGCTGAGCTCCTTTGACAATCTACTCTCTGGACTCTGTTTCTGGAGTCTCTATTTCCAGACCAAGGCTCTGGACATCACAGCTCCCAATTTTGTAACTCATACGCCCTGTTATTTTAATTTTGTAAGTCTCTGCTTATATTATAATCAGAGGTCCCTTCTTTGGCTAAACTACTAGTAATCATAATCTAAGTCCACCTCTGCTGCCGTCTCCCTGTTGTCTGCCTAGAACATCTATATGGGGAGGTGTGGAGTAGATTTCAGGGTGGTTGAAACAACAAGGAATGATTAGAAGATGGCAGAAGAGAAAGGGAGAGGAAAGGTGAGGGAAGTGGCTTTTTTTCCTGGCTCTGCATCTCATTGCTGGGTGACTTCAGGTAAACTGGGTGAACAAATGCCTCAGTTTTCTCATCTGTAAAATGGGAGGAGGCATGGGAGTGGTGAGAAAGTGGGAAGGACTCTTTCTTTGTCTGTTTCATGAAGAACACTTTTGCAGCCCTGCATTTCGGTGTGATTTTTATTTTGACTGAAGGCAACATGACACACTAAGTTAAAAAATAGAGGATTTTTAAAAATATTTCTTCTTTTGCCAGGGGATTTTCAAGACTCTGAAGTGAATTTCATTTTGACTTAGGAGTGGAAATGGCACCTTCAGTACTCTCCCTCAGAGAGCCACTAGCTAGATGTGGAGCAGAGTCAGGAGACAATCAGCTCCAGAGACACGTATATCATATACATGCACGCAGACTTTATAATGTCTCACTTTAAGGCATAAACCAGTCTCTAACTATTAGAGATTACAATGAGAGCTTCCTGGAGGGCAAGTGATCCCATATCTGTTGGAGAGAGGATCCTGGGCTCAATGGACTGTGGGTCTGACTCTGAATGGCAATTCCTACGTTCCTTTAGGATTTATTAACACTACCAGAATCACCAGACCTGATAGTCAGCTGGTGTAAACAGACACAGCTTTAGTAAAATCAATGGCACTATACACATGTACACCAGCTGCGGATAAACCCCCAGCATGTTTATGCATCATTGCAAAATGAGGTCATGGCTCAGGCATGTTTGTCCCGGTATGGGCAGAAAATAAATAACGTGTTCTGTCCACAGCTCAGGTCACCTCCTGGAGATGGCACACAAAGAAGGTTAATAGCATGTTGATGAGCAGGAGGAGGTGAATGCTACCCACTTATAATATAGACCACCCCCCCACCCTCATGCAGAAGCCCCTTTATGGCTTCTTCATCTGCAAAGGATTCAGTGGATTTCAGGGAATAGGAGGGGTTAGCATAAGAGAAATGAGACCCTCAGCTCCCCTTAGGAGATAACACAACTCTCTTCCACACTGAGCAGCCATGCTGGGACCCATCCAATGATAGTATGGCTTCAGTGACCTCATCTATTATGGCTGTAGGCTCAGCATGAAAGAGGTTTACACTCCTTTGATATCCCAGAGATCCACAAACTTGGAAGGGACATGGATCCCCAAATCTGCAGCCCCAGAGCCCCTCCTACATGTCATGATGCATTTCTCTCCACTGTTGTCCCTTCCTACAGGTCTTCCACAGGAGAGAATGGCCCAGCATTTGTCAGAATGGCACATTTGAATGTGTTGTGTTATGCATTTTCATTCCTTTATTTCTCTGAGTTTACCCTAAATCCCCCTGTACTCTGGATGCTTTTTTATAAATGTAAAATATGCAGCATGCTAATAAAATCCACAGTATTTTCCTAGAACCTCAGGCACTGCCCAGACAATAGCATCATCAGCTTTGTCCACCATGAATCATAGGCAATAGAAGGAATTACTTAGGCTGGGAGAGGACAGGTGGTCTTACAGTACTGGACTGTGACTCAGGAGATCCGGTTCAATTTCTAGCTGTACTGTACCAATCCCTGAGTGACCATAGGCAAGATACTCACCTCCCCATATGTAAATGGGGGTCATAGTATTTTCCTGATGTGTTTATTCCAACTGTAGGCTCAGTGCAACAAGAGCTGTTGCTTTATCTGCGTGTATACAGTTCTTTCCACTGTGAGATGCTGATCACAACTGGGGCCTCTCAGTGCTACTAGAATGCAAATAATTATAAGTAATGAACTAAATATGCCAGAGATGCCAAAAAATGTTGTAACACATTTTTTGGGCAGCCATAATTATTTTAAAACATGCTTATAGGGTTTCACTCATACACACTTGCATGTGAGCAGGACATGGTTATAGTGCAAATGAAGCAGTAGACTAGGAGGAGCAGAGGATGCAGCCATTTGTGTTGCAGATGAGAAAGAGTGCGCCCAGCTGAGATCTGGATTTATTTCATTGGGGGGCCTCTGGTAGGGATGCTTAATAGGCCCCTTGTAAGATTACAGTAGTTGACTGTAAGCCTACAGAAATATGACCTCAGGTATCTGACCCCTTGTGAGAAGCACCCCAAAGGTGTGTGACAGGTCACATGCTTCACTGCTAGAAGAGATGAGAATTATGAATGCCCACTTGAGACCAGGGGACAGCAGCAGGGACAGTAACAGTGGAAGCTCAAAGCTGGATGAGATCTGGGACTGCCCCAGGTACAACAGCCACTTTGTTCTCATGAGTGTCTCTTTGGCTACTGTGGGGGAAAGAGGAGGCCACAGCCATGTGGGAGAACTTTGTCAGAGCCGGAGAGGACATGGCAGACCAGGAGAATGATTGTGTTCTCCAGGAGCTAGGCAACAGAGAAGAAGGATATGGGACCCATTAGCCAGAAGGGTTAACCTTTGACTTTTTGGAGCTCAGTTGCCAAAGTGCTAGTTCTATTTCTACAGGTGTGCATAGGTGATTTATCTTGGACAGTAGTTATCTTCAGATTTGGATTATTAAAGGGTCTTTGAGCAGTGGATGAGGAAGGTGAAGGTCCCCCTCAAAGAACTGGCTAAAGGTGATAGTGTATTCTATGGCTTCTTGTACGCATTAATGATGCTGTGATGTAGGCTGCTCTTCCTTTGCAATTTCATTTTAACACTGCCCTGGCATAGATATATGAAGGGAAAATGGAAAAAAAGTGTGGCATACCGAAGCACAGGTTTTCTCCTCTTTCTCCCAAAGAGACCTCAAGGAGGTTGGATGAATTCATTAGCAGGTTCTGAATTTCTCAGCTCACCCCCAGAGCAAAGGCCAGACAGGTAATTTTCTTACTTGGAAAGTTGCAGCTTCAAAAATGCAGTAATAGGAAACAGTAAAACATGTAAAAACATTAATATAGCAGCTTCTATAAATACAGTGGGTCTATGTCACATTTCCATCCAGGACCTTTTTACATGCTTTTCTGGCTGTTCAAAGGGATTTAAAAGTAGCGTGCTGGGACCTTAGTATAACTGAAAATCAGGCCCCAAATCTGTTCAAGAAAGGGAAAACATTTTGTAAATGCTGAAGGTTTGCCTATGATATACACACAGCTGTTTTCTTTTTAAATGTAAATCATTGAAGGATTAGACAGTTTATATATATATAACAGTATATATATATATATATATATATATATAGGTAAGCATTAAAGGACTCTATTTCATTTGCAATGTGCAGTCAAGTATTTTTTTAAGTGAGTCAACTGCCATTTTTAATTTCTTTCCTCCTAATGCAGTCAGCTCACAGAATAGCAACTACTGCATGAAATGTATTGAGAGTGATTTTTCCATGTATAGAAGGATGTCTGCTCTTCATGCACTTGTGAGTGCCAAGGTACCCAGCTGTTTGTATCAATACCCTGTGCTCTCTGCTGAGCATTAGCAAGACAACTGGCACATGCTACATTAGTGGCATCATCAGGGGAAAATCCTTCCATCCATGATTTCTACTTTGGGTCACTAAGAAGTGGTAAAACACTCATTCTTAGTGCTGGCTGTTGGAGGGATAAGGAGGTGTTTACTTCATGACACTCACTGTTCAATCTCCCTCACTGTTCCCTCTGGCTTCTCTGCTGCTAAGTTGATCATCCCGCAGTACACCTCTTTCATCAGCTCTTGCCAGCTCCCTTTTCTGCACAGACAACCTGCCTTTGGCTCCAGCTAGTGCCCCCATGCTTTACAGCCTGCTCTTTCCCATTCACTGTAATAAACTTTATAAAAGTATGGCTTCTGCTGTCTCCTGAGCACAAGAATGTGACCAGGAAGCAGGAACAAAATTCACCTGCTAAATCAGGACAAGTGTACAGGATCAAGGCTATGATTTGTCACATGGATTTGGGTTCTAGCTTCTTGATAAGTTAAGCCTAGAGCAGGTATTCAGAAGGGTCACTTATCCTTAAATATGTAAGTTAATAACCTACTGATTTCAGCTGTGTTACTCGTGTTTAAAGGGAAGCAGATCAAGTGTTTGCAGGGTGGAGTCTGTGACCAAGTCTAGCTTGAAAGTCAAAAAAGCATCTCAGAAAACTCCAGGAAAATTATCTTGGTATCAGATTGTATACATAAATAAACATAGCCACAATAATAATCAGTCTAAACTGCAATAACATCTTGGCTATGGCAGAGACTGCGGGCACATCTACACGAGACATTTTACTGCACAGCAGACTAATTTGCTGCTCAGTAAAGCATCACCATCTAAACATGCATGGCAAGTTGGGTGCAGTAGACTAATTTAGTGTGCTGCTGGATAGTCCTGCCAGATACAAGTAATATCCACAGAGCCATCCCTAAGTGGTGTGCAGGGCCTGGGGCATATCAGCCTGTGCATGACTGGAGCGGGGAGGGGTGGCAAGCAGCCGGAGAGCGGAGCTGGCAGCACATGGAGGCTGCAGTGGAAGCTGCAGCCATGGCAGAGCCAGTGGTGCATGGCAGCTGTGGCGGCACCTGTACAGCACTGTCTGTGGGGGCCCCCAAAGCATGGGGCCTGGGGCAGTCGCTCCAATTTGTGCCCCCCCACCCCCCAAGGGACAGTTCTAGGTATCCAGCACTGCAGTAAATCAGTATGCTTAAACACACATGTAGACAATGATGTTGGGATTAGTTTACTCTGGCTTCAACTGAGCCGCAGTATATTCAGTTGCATTAAATTGCACATGTAGACAAGCCCACTGTCAACCTAACTGCTCCTTTTTGGAGTAAGAAGTGGATTTTCAGTGTTTTAATTTCTAATACAAATATTTTATGACCAGCTCTAAAACAATGTATTTTTTACTATGAGGGGCCTGATTCTCCATTGCATCACCTTAATTTTATGCCAGTATAGCACCATTGATTTCTATGGAGTTACCCAACATAAAGGGGAGTAGGGCTGTGAGGAGTCAGAACTTATATTTGTAAACTGCTTTGAGATCTATGTATGACCATGGAAATGCAAAATATTATCACGCCATGGAAGTGAGAGGTCAAGGTCAAATCCTACATGCATACAGCCATATAAGATCAGATTTCTGCATCTTACTTCTCACCACTGAAATAAATAAAACTGATGTGGCCTCTATTTCAGGGTTAAACACAATTTCCCATCTCCTAGTTTCTACAGTTGATTCAGGTATTGTTATCTGGGTCCTCAATCCTTTTTCATTATTAGTAAGAAAACGACTTTGAAATAAAAAAAAAGTCCTTATCAGATAATGAAATTCCAGTTGTGGTCAAATTTGTTAAACATTCAAGGCCATGATTCGATTGGAAGTAATTATCATCTTTTCTGGAGTATAATTTATAGGGTATTTTTTCTCTGACATTTACAGTGTGGAAATGAAAAATAAAATGATGTCAAAATCAAAAGATTTCAATCTGTCTTCAAACTATAATGTGGGCTAGTGTCAGGAGTTCATCCCAGTGTGGGGAGGGCAGGCGGTGGAATGGAAATTCACTGGAGTAAGTTCTCTGAATAACGAGGGTTAATAGCACCTACTTGTGTGATTTTTGTACCCAAACAGAGATTCTGGAAGGAATGTCTCTCAGAGCTTACAAGCTCTGTATAACAGGTAGAAAGGGCTCCTAGCTCCTGGAAATGTTAAGTTTACCCTGCAGATGTTGGTAGTAACTCTGTGGTTAAGTTTGCATTAAAATATGCACTTAAATCAGGAAAAAAGCCAATTCAGATCCATACTTTGAGAATTATCTTTAGTCTCAATACTTGGTAAAATAACACTTCCAAATTAATTAATATTTTCGTACAATCTTTCTAGTTTATTTTACTGATTTTGCCAAGGAACTATTTTAAATGCTCCCTTTCAAATTTTTGCCCTGATTTCCTTTGATTGCCACATGCTAAATTCAGTACACTTCCACAGACTTCACACTACACGCACCACATACCCATGCTTTGCTAACAGGGATAATCTCAACAAGTGCAAATCCTAACTTTTCTTGAGTACAAATGGGGTTAGCAATGCTACTGTGGTTGTTGGATACCAGGTGCAGGATCTCAAGGGTCAAATCTTCAGCTGATGTAGATCAACATAGTTTTGTTGGCTTCGGTGGAGCCATGCCAATTTATACCAATGGAGCATCTGCACCCAGGGCTGGAAGGACAGAACAATGAACATCAGTGCTCTGGCTCAAGCAAACATCACAAGCATTGAAGCTATGTTTATACAGCACCAGTTCTATTGACAGGACATATCATAAGGATGCCTGACAATTGGCTCGCAAACCAGACCCTATGGGCACCTATACATGAGTGCAGAGGCTGCTCCAACATCCTGGAATTCCAGCACATTGGGGGCAGACTCGATTAATCAAGTCTGTTGGAACATGGCAATTACCGCGCTCCAGCAGCCCCCTGCATACCATATATCAGCGCCCCCTCCCTTAAAAATGGTGGTGGGGGCACTTGAACTAAAGCTTGTCAAATGAGAGTCAGTTCAAGTGCCCCCACTGCTATTTTTAAGTGCAGGGATGCTGCTACACAAGACACAGTGGAACTTAATTAGAGCGGCTCTTAGAGCTGCTCTAATTAAAGCACTCCCACCCCTGGAGCGCATGTAAAAGTATCCTATATGTCCAACTCACCAATGGTCACTACTCTAGAGATGGGCAAAGGAAGAGATTCAAGGACAACTTGAAGACTAATCAGAAGAAATGCAATATTAACATTAATATCTGAGAGACTTAAGTACTGAATCAACCCCAAGTGGTGCTGTGATATACAATAGGGCATCAGTCATTTTGAGCAAACTTTCCTCACTAAGAAGGCAGATAGACGAGAGAAAAAAAGGGGAAGAGCTATGACCTGACAGCACCAGGATCTACTCCTTCCTCCTTGAACTATTTGCCATATGTGCAGTTGAATCTGCGGATCTCGGATTGGCCTCCTCATTGATTAATGGAGTCACTGATGCCTTCCCTATTTACTGGAACACTCTTGTTCTTATATTGAGGGACTGTAAATGACAATTTATCTCAACATTTCCAATCAACTTATCCAGACTCACAACACTTACTGTGTGGAAATAAGTGTTTCAGAAGTACTTTCTAAGCCAAGGGTAGGCAACCCCTGGCATGGGTGCCAGAGTGTGGCACACAAAGGCATTTTGCTTGGCACACGCACCTTGGGGCAGATGGTGGGGAAGGAGCCAAGGCTGCACTGCCACAACAAGGCTCAAGCCCCTCACAGCCCTGCTACTATCCACCTCTGGCATGCCAACATCTTACAAGTCAAGGTGGCGGGTGTTTTTGGCACACAGTCCCACCTTGCAGCAAGGAGAGGAGCTCATGGGAGAGAGGGGCTGCTAGAGATGGAGAGAGACACCCAAACCACCCAGGGAAGCTGGGGGTGAGATGGGTCTGATGGAGGTAGGGCCTGCAGGCAACATTTACCCTGAGGGAGTGGGACTATTTGTTTTATGAAGCAGCTGGCTTGTGTTTTTGTTCTGTTTTGAGCTTAACATGTGAGGACTGGGTTGTGACTATAGGGGTGGAGGAGGCTACGAACAGAGGTGCCTGGGTGGCACTCCCCTGCTATAGGTGCTAGAAGCTAGCCCAAAGCTCGGGGGTCTGAGCCTGATGTGATGAGACTAGAACCCCAAGAGGGGCTGCCCCCAAGGCAGGCCTGATACCTGGGAGCTGAGGTCTTAAACAGTGAACCAAGGCTGAGGGTGCAGCCAGAGAGAAGCAGGGTTAAGGCTGCAACAGCTGAAGCCCCAACAGGTGCTCAGATGCCTACAAGAAGCCTTAATGGGAAGCACTTGAGAGACAACACATTCCCCTGGCCGGGCAGGCAAAGTGAACTGTGAGGTTACTCCTGGCCCCAGGGATCACCCACCAACAACAAGTACAGTAACATCAAAATTGTGGCAGGCAAGAGACTGGAGGTGAGGTGGGGCCAGGAAAGAGCTGACAGGTAGGTTGGACCACAAGACGGGACCAGGTGCCAGGGTGGCTGCCCTCCTCCCTCCCCACCCCAAATGATTTTTCATTTGACAAAAATGGGGTTGTATCTTTATCTTTGTGCGCTTTGGTGTTTTTGTTGGTTCGGGAGCTCTTGGCCATCAGAGACATTACCAGGGATCACCACGTGGAAGCGGCTCTCGTCGAACCCCCCTGCAAAGGTATTACAGCAAGAAAAGATGTTTTGCGAGGTTTGGACTGCTTGCGATCGTTAAAAGTTCTTTGGGGCTTTTAACAATCTTAGGAAGCAAATTCTAGCTGGGCAATTAGTTTGTGATGCACTTCCATGTCCCACCCTGCAGTTTGGTTGGATACCTAATTCTCCGTTTTCCATCTTAAAACCTCCATAGTGCAGTTTCACCTAGACAGAGCAGCTGCTGCAATTGATCCCAGATATGGCTTTACTTGGCTAGCAAGTGAAAAGATCTCTCTACACACTAGTCTGTGAAGCAGCCTTTTCAAAGAAAACTATTCAAAATGTAATGATGATTATTTTGATGCAGTGGGAACCATAATGAAGGCAGAAATTTTGATACAGATTGCGACAAAATGCCTGTCAAGGCAAATCACTATGATTAATTATAATACTTTAGATCCTGGTGTGAGCCACCCAGATCTTTCCAGAAGCAGCTCTCGCTCCCCCACCCAAAGGAAGAGCAGCTGAGAAGTAAAATGAACCTCACGGTTCCTAGCACATAGGCTGTAGCCAGTTTTTTAAGCTTTTGGGGAAGGCCATCCATTACTCAAGAGTTAAAAGATGTTGTGACCCCCCTGACATTCCTTGGAAGAGTAAAAAATGTATCAATGACAGCAATGATAAGCCTACATAATTTATTTGTGTGTGTGTTTTAAAAGGTTGGCAGAGCATACTTGACCTTTAAGGGTCAGGGTGCAGAGAGAGCAGGGAAGACAGATTTCCTTGACTTTCGATTTTAATACAATGTTCAATGCTTTGCTCCCTTTCCCTTGTCCCACAAAACACACACACTCTCACAAGAGGCTGTTGTTCACTGGCTGTGGCTGCTGGTGCACAGGATGCAGAAGTGGGAGGCTGGAGATGTGGGTTCTGTTCCAAACTTAGCCACTAACTTGATGTGTGACCTGGGCAAGACCTTTTCTATTCCTACTGTCTCCTCTTTAGTGTTTTTTGGGGCAGGGACTGTCCCTCATCATGTGTCTCAGCAGTATCTACAACAGTGGTGCCACAATCTAAGCTGGAGCCTCAGAGGGCTAACATCATACAAATAGTAATGCCTCAGCTGCCACTGGAAGCACTGCCCACTTCTCCCAGTAACATAGCTGCATTTTGCATAGCGCAGCACACCACAGCTAGCCATGAGCATGACTTGGAAAATTGTGCTAGTGAGGTCTCATCTTGAGCTCATTCCATATCTCCCCTCTCTACTTAGAGAGCTAAATAAATATTTACACTTGATATTTATGATATTATGATACTACTTTCATGATAACAGCCGACCATTTTCATCTTCATAATGCTTTACCACTGTTTACTAATTCATATAATTGAAATAAGAATATATGTAAGCTGATTGTCAAAGCCGTTTATTAGAAGCATCACTGTGTCAGGAGCTCCCTAACTGTGAGTGATGCTGTGTTGTCTCTCTTAATATTTAATGGCATTTTAATAATATTTCCCAGCTAGGGGCTCCAGTGAATGACAGAGAGTAAAGGCCAATGTTACTAGTGCAGCAGATGTATAAATTTCACCTACATGGGTCAGCTAAAGCCTCTACTCCCTTCCACTTGAAGGCTGGGCAAACAGTCTTGCTGCTGTTGCTCTGCCTAAGGCTTTTAGAATCAGCGTCTGTCCGCTTCCAGCTAATACCACCCATTTTATGACACCACATTTGAGATATGCTCGTGTTAAATATCCCCCAACCTGTCACTCCTCTCCTGGTATTTGGGGCAGAGGCATAACTACCAGGATCTGCACTCTGACTGGCAGTGGCAACAAGGGTAGTGAACAGCTGTGGCAACAGTGGCAGCTGGACTAGCAGCAGCTGTTTTTCCTATGCCCCTTCTAAGTGGGCACCTGGGGCTTGTGCCATGGTCACCCACCCTTTGTTACACTACTGGGTTGAAGCAGATATTCTATTTGATCTCACTACAACCTTGGCTAACGGAGAAGGAAGGCTCTTTTACTTCAGGCAGGAGGAAATAATACATTTAGAACCAAAGGTCCTAGAGTCAGTCCCTGCTACCAGTGATCCACATAACAAATATAACTGCCCACTGCATCTTCCTCCAATCTTGGCACTCCTGAACTTGCAATCACTTAGCACCACTGTAGCTTTGTCCCCACCTGCAGCAGCCTTCCTCAGTTTTTGTCCTACAGGTGTCCCATCCATCAATCTGTCCTTTGAGCTGTAAGACTCAGGGTGAAGTTACATGTTACAGTTAAACCATACTAATGGCATTTAAAATGCGAGTGCTCTGTGTCTCTCAAGGTTACACCATTCCAGGAAACGGTTAACTGTGGGCCAGCTACCTAGCTTGTGTTAGGGTAACTTAAGTCTGTTTCACAGAGATAAAATGAGTAATCTGCAGTCTTCCAGCATCCCAGGATGCACTCCTCCAAGCTTCCCCCTGTCGCCCTTGGAGCAGAAATATAGCCCAGGTGTCCTGGCTGCTAGCCACACTCCTGCTCACCAGCCTGTAGTGGCAAGTCAGAGCTACGTAGGCAAGAAACAGTATTAACCCTTAATGTGCAACTGTTTGTAGCATGTCCTAACTTTAACACTGCTTAACATTTCACAGATTTAGTATGGTCTAAGCACAGCATGTAACTTCACCCTTACTGTGTGAATGAACTGGGAATCAGAGTCTTTCAAAGTTACTGCAAAAGAGGCTATATTTTCCATATTTTTATATTTTATATTTTTAAAATTTCATTTTTTATATTTAATATAATTTTTATATTACCCAAACAGAGGTAGGCTTCTGTGTGACCAGCAATCGTGTATACAGTCTTACATAGTGATTGGTACCATTGTACTTCACTCTCATCAGAAAAGTTGCTCACATGCATAAATAGTGGCAGCATCAGAGCCTTAAATGATACCTTAAGATAATTGTAATAAATTATTTAAATTAATAATTTATTTACAACAGCTTTTAAAATTTCTGATTTCCCATGCACTTAATGGGGGAAACTGATTCATTTCACCTTACTCAAACACAGGCAGTGATGGTTATCTTATTTTTATTTTATTTTGGAGAGTGCCATTTAAAAATATATAGTGTTAAGACCTTAACCTGTCTTAAAGTATGCTCTTTTTTCTTCATATTTAGATGCAGCAATTAGAGAGGACTTTTTTGCTATGCTACAGTTTTCCTTCAAAGCAGTCATTGTATCCATTATTTGAAAACAATTCCAAGCACTAAGCGGGACTGTAATGGCACAAGCTACTCTGTTCAGAATTTGGGAGCGGAGTCTTTAAGCACCATTTTTATTGCAAGTATCAAAATCCATCCTGCGTTGTGAAATTGCATTTTCAAATAAGTGGGGCATTATTTACAATAATGAGGCTGTTGGGAAGGGTGGAGGCAGGGAAAGACTTAAAGGCTGTTTCCATTTGTTTAGCTATATTGGCTGGGCAACTGTTGTATTTTTCTCCTTACTTCAAACACAGCTTTGTTGTCAAAGTTGTAGATGCAAAATCTGGACACTCCTGTCATATGAACGCAGCTTATATATGGTTGTGTCATGGCAAAGCAGGTAATAATGACTCCAGTTCATGCATTCCACTCTAATTAAATCAGCAGAGATCTATAAAGCTTTCAACAGAGTTACAACTGGATGCACTGTTCTTAACCTTAACAATTCTTCACCTAAGAAACATACATTAAAGCTGAGTGTCTGCTTTGCTTTTTAATTTATTTGCAGCACTTGGGTAAATATAGCAGAAAAATGCACACCCTTCCACACTTCTGTATTATTACTGAGGAGATTATTGGCCTTGCACTGAGGCAACTTTCCTGTCTACTAAGTTTATATGAAATACTTTGCCAAAGAGCTTGCCAGCAAATTGATTGCATTCCCAGTTCCCATATTAAGCTTGTGTTGACCAGGACCCTTTATGTATAACCAGTAACCACCTTACCCCCCAGCAAATTCTTGGTAACAGGTCTGGCTTCATGAAATGCCAAGTCCTCATAATTTAGATCCAGATGCTCCCATTTACTGTGCAGCATGGATGAGAGCACAGGGTAGAAAACAGGACAAAAAGGACCCCAGCCTGAAAGCTTGTCCTTGCAAACAAATGGTACTGCACAAAGCTCTGCCATTTGGGGTCATGGCTGGATGGAAGGAGTAAGGTAAGGGAGCAGATGCTATATGTAGTATGCTTTCATATGACCTTGGGAGAAATACTGCTCTGAAAGCTAAATAAGTTAGCTTTACAAACAGCAACATTAATTTCTTCTACATGTCATAGGCCCACCTCTGGAGGGAGGCATAAATTGTATGTCTCCCACTTGGGACCCATCTACAGAGACTAACATATATACTACTGCTTCCACCTTAGTGGTGTGGTCATGTATCTCAGTTGGTAAGAGGCCCATGCTCTTCATTCTTAGGGATCCTGGGTCCAGATCTGCCCCAAGTGGGGAGGAAAAACAGTCCCAGATTTCCTGTGAGAAACAGAAACACACAATCAACTGGAGAGGTGTGGAGGTGCAGGCACTCCAGGCACATTCACTGTGATCTAGTATTGGGATGAGAGTGCCTGTGGACCCTTGGGTTCGGTACAGTCTGAAGCATATGTACTCTTCAGTCTTTTTCTCAGAAGAGAATAAAGGGTAAACTCATAAGCTGACCTATAGCTCCAGCAGTACTTTGTCCCCTCCCTGGGTAATTTTGTAGGAAAGACAATTTAGCTCTGAGGGTTAATCAGTGCCTTTTGTTGTACAATGGAAAGGCGATCATTCATGCCCCAAGCAACTGTACTGTACTCTGAACAGTCAAATAAACTTGTGCATTACACTATGCACACTCATTTGGAGGTAAATATTTCAGTACAATTGCTTCAAAATGGAACAAAAAAATCCACACAAAATTGGCATTGAATTCACTCCCCGCTTTTTGGAATTGAGATATCATATTATGAGTATTTTTAACTATCTCCACCTCCATATAGAGTCCAGGAGACTCCTGAAGACTTGATAATGGCTGTTTAGTGGCTTTTGTGAAATGGTTTTAAGAAAACCTCATAACTGGGGCCCTTGTTTCAGCCTCCACAGAGAGGTCAAAGAGGTCCCAAGAGAAACTGAAACACCCTTGCATTCCTAGAAAGGAGGCCTTTACTTGTAATTAACCAATCAACTAGTCTTTTATCAGTCAAATATGAAGTAGTTTGGGGCCCTTAGGGGGCCTAAAGCTAATACAAGGCTGCTTTAATTCTAAGAGGAAAGACGCTGTTTTTCCATATGGTATATTTCCCATGTACTTGTTATTTCCCCTTTCATTCTTGCTTGGCTAGTTCTGCGTAAGAAACTCACTACTGGTTCCTAGAGGCAAGACTGCCTCTTTATGGTATTTATGGGGGTGCCAATCCTATTCTGTAAATGGCAATTATGAGGTGCCAATTACTGTGGTGTCTGGGCACCAGGTACAATATTCAGATAAGCATAAAAGTTATTCAACATGGACTCTGCTCTTGATATCCTCAAGTCCAGTTGCTTATGCTCGGGTGTTTTCCTTCTGTGTAACCTGTCTCCTTCATGCTTCATCTTCTGTCCTAGTAGCTAGGTTCCTCGGGGAAGATGAGTGTCACACTACACTCTGGAAACAGCTAGACTTTGGCTAGGTGGAGTTTTCCCAAGGGGGAGTCCACAGCCCCGACCCCCACACTGGCTCCTCAATGTTTCACCAGCCCAGTCAGCTTCTTATCCCTATGGATCCTAATTCCCTCTTGGGTAATTTCCTGATTTTAAAAATCACATTCCCCAAAACACAGGAAAATGGGAAGTAGCTGTAAGAGCTTTTGGGGAAGCTTATCTGAGATGACTATTTCCCTGGCTCTGCCCTAGAGTAGGAGGGAAAGTCATTGCAACTGATGCAAGATCCTTTGGGAGTAGCTAGATTCTATTTCCCCAATGAAAGAGTCTCTGTTGGAGAGAAAAGGGGTTTTGAAGACACCTGGGGAAAATACTCACCTGGCTGGGTGGCCAGGTGCACATATTCTAATTTTGTGCATGTTTATTCTGTGTTGTTTTTAGTTGAATGAGACTGGGAACAGAACATGGGAAAAGCCTTCTGAGACCTTTCTGGCTTGTTTTGCTTGCAGAGCTGCACTGGTTGCAAACTCATTATGACTGCCTTAAATATAGAAGCAGGGACACGTTTAGCAACCCAAAAGGCTTATAGGAAACTCAAGAGTTTGGTCAGGAACAGATTCCAGGCCTCAATGCTCCCAGACCAATGAAAGCATTAAGAATTAGGATTGGAGTCCTGAATTGTGCCTGGAAGTGAGAAAGAAGAGGAGTTTCTGCTGGCTACTCTGACTAAAGGGGCCGCTTACTACCTGTACAAACAAGAGCCTTTGACTCGTCTTGATTAATAGGCATGGCCAGAAACAGACAGAGAGTTCTGAGGACCTAAAATGCTGATTACAGTAAAGCTAGGTCCTCATCCGAGAGATATGAATATAATATTTTGCAAACTGAAGGCAGAAGAAAGATTCTGTTTACCTGGCTACAGAGGAGCAGTGAGGAATCTAAACTTTTCCTGTGTTGATTTTCTAAAAATAAAGTGAGAATAAGTAAAGTGAAGAAAAGGAATAATTGGCAAGTCTGGCCTAATCATGTTAGTGGGAAGTAGGGGAGGGAGTTAATAACCCTGACCCCACCTTGAGGACATCTGTAGCTAAAATTACAGTTTGGCATTGAATACAAGATGGCCTCCCTGTTGGACACATACTGAAAATATATAAATGAGAAGCATGCCATGAACTTAGGTTTATCTCTTGCTTATCCGTAAAGCTATTTTGTTAGCCTGCAGTTTTCTGGGCAGGAAAACACTGATTGCACTTTATCAGCGCGTATACTTTCCCTGACTCTTTGTACCACCTCTCAATCAAGAATTTCAACATAGCTTACAGTAGGGTTGGAGTGGCGTTGTAAATATAGATAATCTACCATGCAACAACCCTTGGAGGTAGGTAGGGTAAATGACATTAGCTTTGTACAACTAACAAAACTAACAGAGCCATTAAGCAACTGGCCTAGGGTCATATTCCAAGTGAGTAGCAAAGCTGGGAGTAGAAGGCAAGAGACATACTCCTCGTTCCCTTACTCTAACTACCTGGGTATGCCTACTTTGAAGTGCCTGGATTTCCATTCTCTGCATCTATCTAATGCATATCATTGTTGGAGAAGAAATGATTGTTTTCTTGAGGACACAGAGGATCAGAATTGCCAGTTGCCAAAAAAGCACTTTTTTGTAATTGGCTCCAACCAGGGCATCCCCAAGTTGCTTTTTATCTGTTGCTACACAGGGCAGACAGCAAGTGGAGTTAGTTAGCTCTCAGGGCTGAGCTAGCCCGATGATTCTATCAGTTGATTGCTCAGGGCTGTAGCTGCCAAGCTCCATGACGCCAATAGATTTGCACAGAGCAAGCTGGGCTGGAATCAGATTACACTGACTCCAAAGGATCATGCAGCAGCTTCCAAGGAAAAAATACATGCCCAGTAAATAGAAAGAGAAATAATTACAAATAACTAATTAACTGAGCATGAGTGAAAGGGAAGCAGCAGCTAAAACCGAAACAGTGGAGGAAAACGAAGGAATGTGAGCAATGGCCATGGACAAGAATAGCTGAAGTTTACACGTAAAATGAAAAAAGAAAAGAAAGGGGGAAACTTAGAAACATTAAAAAAAATAAATCAAAAGTTTGAGAGGGGGAAGAGCAGAAGCTGTCACTGAATTTTCCTAGGGAAATACCAGGAGAAGGTAAGGGAGAATGATAACACATACACAAAATATCAGCGTTTACTTCTTACGCATAAAGAAAATATTGCATTGATTGCAGAGTGAAAGCAAAGTTTGGAAAGCACCAGAGGGAAGTGCTGGGAATTGTCCTGCCTTGTTAGTTTTGCTCCAGTTATCCAAAAACATTGTTGACGTAGTTACTGCAAACAAGCTTCTTTCTTTCAGTGCAAGCAGCATTCGTGTCTTCTCTTTTCTACACCAGCCTATGGTCAAGTATATTTATTTAAATGTAATAAAGGCTCTGAACTGAATTCTAGCCACTGTCTATGATCATGAAGACCTTTCTAAATATGGCTGAATCTGATAGCCACAAAAAGGAAAAACTGTGCCACCCATTGCAATTAAGATTCTTCCCTTTTCCTCCCTCATCCCTCCACAAGTCCGTCCCCTATTCATTTTATTAGGGAAGGCTTGGGAAAATGCATAGGGCATGCAGTATAGCCTGGAAG